ACAGGCTGAATGTACAATCTTACTTTGTGATTTTTTTTTTTTTTTTTTTTCTTTTTTTTTCTATCATACAGTAAATATTACTATAATGGCAGTGGTGAATAGGGCGCAGTACTTGTCTGTGCCCTGTGGCAAATGCTACTTTACCTGAAATGAACTGATCAAGGTGTAAATACAGAATGATAAACTATAATTAATCTGATCCAAAGCAGTTTATTGCTGCCCTATCAGTGATTCACTTCTCTTCGTAGACTGTAGTGACATTTTATAGCATCTCCATTTTCCATGATAACCCCGACTGTGTTTAAACTTCTTAATTCTAGAAGGAATTCAACATCTATATTAATCCAGCTGCATGTGGACTGATCTTGAAACAGATTGTCATCCACATTGACACCCACATCTAACAGCAAAGGAGGCCCGTATGGCCCTTAAGACAATAGAAGTGGTCATATGAAGACTACACAAACACTGAAGATCTTGTATTTCTCAACTTCCAATCTGGGAGCTCATTCAACCTTATATCCGTCAGTCGTAAAAGTTCTTTGAGAAGATCATAGGTGAAGCTCATCTAACACAACCTTTCACTGCAAATAATTGTCCCATGTCTGGGTACATTTTTTACTGTCATTGCCTTCTAAAAGGCTAACAAGATACAGTATGGGCCCTTGAACACGGTACTGATGTTTGAGCATCTGCTTTTTTTAAACATAATTTCAGGTGTTTGTTTTGCACGTGTTTGCACGCAAATGCACAAATTTGCACGCACAATGTATTCTTAGGGAAAATTCATTAATATTTATGCTCATATGTGCATATTCGTACACACTTGCATGCATGTGGCGTAAATTACCATATTTTTCACTCCATAAGACTCACCTGTACATAAGACGCACCTAGGTTTTAGAGGAGGAAAATAAGAAAAAAAAAAATATTCTGAACCAATGGACTGCGGACACAGTACAGGAGATGACCAGAGACTGGGGACACAGTACAGGAGATGACCAGAGACTGCGGACACAGTACAGGAGATGACCAGAGACTGCGGACACAGTACAGAAGATGACCAGAGACTGCGGACACAGTACAGGAGATGACCAGAGACTGCGGACACAATACAGAAGATGACCAGAGACTGCGGACACAGTACAGGAGATGACCAGAGACTGCGGACACAGTACAGAAGATGACCAGAGACTGCGGACACAGTACAGGAGATGAGCAGAGACTGCGGACACAGTACAGGAGATGAGCAAGACTGCGGACACAGTACAGGAGATGACAGTACAGGAGATGAGCAGAGACTGCGGACACAGTACAGGAGATGAGCAGAGACTGCGGACACAGTACAGGAGATGAGCAGAGACTGCGGACACAGTACAGGAGATGAGCAGAGACTGCGGACACAGTACAGGAGATGAGCAGAGACTGCGGACACAGTACAGGAGATGAGCAGAGACTGCGGACACAGTACAGGAGATGAGCAGAGACTGCGGACACAGTACAGGGGATGAGCAGAGACTGCGGACACAGTACAGGGGATGAGCAGAGACTGCGGACACAGTACAGGGGATGAGCAGAGACTGCGGACACAGTACAGGTGATGAGCAGAGACTGCGGACACAGTACAGGTGATGAGCAGAGACTGCGGACACAGTACAGGTGATGAGCAGAGCCTGGGGACCTTTGGGGAGCGGAGGGGGGAAGCGGGTACCTGGATTTGACAGGTACACGCTCCCACTTCCGCAAAGTTGTCCTTCCCCCTCCCTCCCCGCAGTCTTCTGGAACACGTGACAGGCCCCAGAAGACTACAGGGCCATTCACAAAGTGCAGCACCTCTCGCACATGTGCAGTGGGCACCCGGCTGTGAAGCCGCAAGCTGCAGACCTCCAGCGGTCATACCTGTTCCTCAGTCCAGCGGTGTCCTCACCGTCTTCTCTCCCCGGCGCTGGCATATTTAGTGTGGGCACCTGGCTGTGAAGCCGCAAGCTGTCACAGCTGGGTGCCCACACTAAAGATGCCGGCGCCTGGGAGAGAAGACAGTGAGGACACCGCTGGACTGAGGATCAGGTAGGACCGCTGGAGGTCTGCAGGTTCTGCTGCACAGCTGAGCGGCCGGCCCGGTATTCTAACACGGCGGCGACAACGGGGAGAATACCGGGCCGGCCGCTCCATATTCGCTCCATAAGACGCACATACCTTTTCCCCCATTTTGGGGGGGGGGGGGGGGGGGGGGGGAGTGTGTCTTATGGAGCGAAAGATATGGTACTGGCCAAAAATGCAGATTTTCCTTTTTATTATTATTTATTTAATTAACTGAGGAATATGCGGCGCTTGTTTGCATGCTTGTGTGCAAAGGCACATTCTAAATAACTGGCTACATTTTAACTCTATGGAGAAAAAAAAACAAAGCACTCTCTACTGAGCTTTTTTCAAGCTGCATTGTACAAGAGGCCTATGGGTCCTGTGATCAACAGGGCTGTTTAAACCACATAAAAGCACAAAGCAAAAGGGCTAAAAATACAGCAAAATTCATGTAGCCTGTGTACTGTCTAAGAAAGGGTGATCTTTGTAAGATTGGCCATAAAGTTATACATACAGTGGCAACTCCGTGCATTTAGTCATGTAGATATGGTGAAGACAACTTGCTAACGTTATAAACCGAGCATCAGAATGGGGAAGAAAGGGGATTTTAAGTGACTTTGTGCATGGCATGGTTGTTGGTGCCAGACGGGCTGGTCTGAGTATTTAAAAAAAATGGGATTTTCAAACACAACCATCTCTAGGGTTTACAGCAAATGGTACGTAAAAGAGAAAATATCCAGCGAGCGGCAATTGTGTGGACAAAAATGCCTTTTTGAGGTCAGAGGAGAATGGGCAGACTGGTTGCTGTGACATTCAGATGGCAGGGTCAGAATTTGGCGTAAACAACACGAAAGCATGGATCCATCCTCCCTTGTATCACCGGTTCAGGCTGATAGTGGTGGTGTAATGGTGTGGGGGATATTTTCTTGGCACTAGCAAGGTGCACCTAATAACGTGTTCAGTGAGTGTATATAGGTAGCCAAAGAAGGATTTTTCTTTTTTCCAGTAAACCTTGACCTTTTGGTAGCCTTTTGAAAGCGTTTTTATTGTTTCACCTGCACAACCCTGGCAAAACCCTGTTTTTATGTACCCATGGTGTTTAGGTACATCTCTTGTCATTTAAAGCAGTGTCAAACCCAAAAGCAAACCTTTATTATATTGCAGCTTACCATCCTAGATGTGATGTCTGCATTCATTTTCTTTTTGAGGCTTTTCCTTATATTTTCATTTTCAACAAGTCTGTTTTTCAAAAGAACAAGCTCTCCAGCAGAATGTCTTTTACTGAGATGAGACAAACCATTTACCAGTGACGGGTGCTTACAGTAATCTGCTTTTTATTTATGTAAAATCTTTATCCCAAGAGAAAAATACTGTTTGCTGTAACTGCTTACAACACGGGTGTCAAACTGGCAGCCCTCCAGCTGTTGCCAAACTACAAATCCCATGAGGCATTGCAAGATTGACAGTTACAAGCATGACTCCCAAAGGCAGAGGCATGATGGGACTTGTAGTTTCGCAACAGCTGGAGGTCTGCCAGTTTGACACCACTGGCTTATAAAGTGTTAGCTGGAGTTTGTCTTCAGCTTGTTAGTGTATTTAAATATGCTAGTACATATAACACTCCCCTCCCTCTGACTAACACTGCTGTCCAAAGGTGCCCCCTTTGCTCATTCATCTAGAGTGGGGGCACTCTAATACAGGGAGTGTGTTATTGGCCAGATCACCAGGTGAAAACCGAGCAAAAAAAAAGAAAACTAATGCAGCCTCCACATCTAGGATTGGTAAACTGCAATATATTATATTTTTGTTTTTGCATTTTGATACTGCTTTAATGAAGATGTATTTCCATTGGTAGAAAAAAAGAATAAAATATTTGCTCTGGAAGATACTACCAATAAAGCGTATTTTAAACCAGAAACAAAAATATTGCATTTAGATGAGGTGACTGCATCGTCTCCGTAGACTGCTCTCCTTATTTGGACTACAAACACCTTCCCCCATTTCTCTTCTTAATTGCATAAGAAGGGGTAGACTGCTCTCCTTATTTGGACTACAAACACCTTCCCCCATTTCTCTTAATTGGATTTAATTGCATAGGAAGGGGTAGACTGCTCTCCTTATTTGGACTACAAACACCTTCCCCCATTTCTCTTCTTAATTGCATAAGAAGGGGTAGACTGCTCTCCTTATTTGGACTACAAACACCTTCCCCCATTTCTCTTAATTGGATTTAATTGCTTAAGAAGAAGTAGACTGCTCTCCTTATTTGGAATACAAACACCTTCCCCCCATTTCTCTTCTTAATTGCATAGGAAGGGGAGGTTTGGAGTACACAGAAAATAGCTGGGAAATCTGATAACCTTTTGAGATCTTAATTCAGTACACAGGATTTCTATCAGGAATAACTGGTGTTTTTCTACATTTAGCCTAAAAATTAGTCACGTTTTAGTGATAAGGCTCCATGCACACTAGCATGTGGTTTTTTTTTTTTTTTTTTTTTTAAGCTCAAAAAGTGCTGAATAAACACGCTGGTAATAGCATTTTTTAGTAGCCGTTTAGGAGCGTTAGCGTTTTTATTAGCTTTTTTTTCCCTACACGTACCGTAAAAAAAAAGCTGTAGCATTTTAGTAGAGCTTTAGTAGTGTTCAGTATTTAAATTTTTTTTCTGCTGGCAAAACTCTCCCTATATATATATATTTATTTATTTTTTTCTGCTCCTAGAAGCTGAAGCTTGAAAAACGCTTCTAGCCTACAGTAGTGTGCATGGACACATAGGATAACACTGTTTGCTTCCAGGGGCAGAAACAAAACGCTCATAACTCATATGGTGTGCATGGAGTCTAGAATCATAACGCAATCTCATTCAGCTCTGATGCCATATGCTTCCTCATAGTTAAACTTTGTTGGGTTCTTTTCAGGTGCATGCCAAATTCCGCTATCCTTTCTATTATGAAATGTGTTGGTATGTCCTGGAGAGATATGTTTGCACTTTAACCAACCGCTGTTACCTTAACAAGGAGTATCAGAAGGAATCCATGCTATTTGGTAAGTACATTGTTGTGGCTGGAATTCTAATGTGCTTTATTAACTTGATAAATAACTGCTTTACAATTTCATCTACTTTACCGAACTTCTATTATTCAATTGAACCTGATTGACTGACTGGAGTAAAATTTGTTTACACAGTTGTATTCTTATTTTATGTATATAATTATTTTTATTATAATTTTTTTTTTTTTTAGATCATATGTTTGCAGTTACATCATATGAATTTACAGAATAAAAAGTTCACATTTGGATTAAATATCATGGCCTTTAAAGTGTCACTAAAGACAGATTATTTTTTTTAAATGAAATCACATGTTATACTCACCTGTTGTCTGCAAAGGTATCGCACAGAGTGGCCCAATCCTCCCTTTCTTGGGTCCCCTGCTGACGATCCTGGTCCCTCCTCTTCTTTGTGGGTCCATAAGGGATACATGCTGCGTGCTCGCTCCTGACCTGTATATATACGGAGCCGCGCTCCATAGACACACATAGCGGGATTTAGCCCAACCCACCCACTTCCTCTTCATTGCATTTGATTGACAGCAGCAAGAGCCAATGGCTCCTGCTGCTGTTCAAATCCCTATGTGAAGAGGAAGCGAGGGGAGAAGATATGCAGCTGTGCACAACACTGATCTCTTCTCCCCCTCTCTTCTCCTTCACACAGGGAAACTAAAAACTTTTTTTAACCTTAATGAGAGCAGTGCATTACGGCAGAGGTCCCCAAACTTTCTAAACAAAGGGCTGGTTTACTGTACTTTAGTTTTTATGGGGGCCAGAATGTGGCCAGTGGGAGAAGAAATTGTCTTGTCAGTAAAAGTAAACAAGGCCCCTTAATTGGTGTCAGTGGGAGGTATAGTGTTCCATCATTGGTGTCAATGGGAGGAATAGTGCTCCATTGGTGTCAGTGGGAGGATTAGTGTTCCATCACTGGTGTCAGTGGGAGGAATGGTGCTCCATCATTGGTCTCAGTGGGAGGAATAGTGCGCCATCATTGGTGTCAGTAGGAGGTATAGTGTTCCATCATTGCTGTCAGTGGGAGGAATAGTGCTCCATTGGTGTCAGTGGGAGGATTAGTGTTCCATCACTGGTGTCAGTGGGAGGATTAGCGCTCCATCATTGCTGTCAGTGGGAGGAATAGTGCTCCATCATTGGTGTCAGTGGGAGGAATAGTGCTCCATCATTGGTGTCAGTGGGAGGAATGGTGCTCCATCATTGGTGTCAGTGGGAGGAATAGTGCGCCATCATTGGTGTCAGTGGGAGGAATAGTGTGCCATCATTGGTGTCAGTGGGAGGAAGAGTGTGCCATCATTGGTGTCAGTGGGAGGAATAGTGTGCCATCATTGGTGTCAGTGGGAGGAATAGTGTGCCATCATTGGTGTCAGTAGGCGGAATAGTGTGCCATCATTGGTGTCAGTGGGCGGAATAGTGTGCCATCATTGGTGTCAGTGGGCGGAATAGTGTGCCATCATTGGTGTCAGTGGGCGGAATAGTGTGCCATCATTGGTGTCAGTGGGCGGAATAGTGTGCCATCATTGGTGTCAGTGGGAGGAATAGTGTGCCATCATTGGTGTCAGTGGGAGGAAGAGTGTTCCATCATTGGTGTCCGTGGGAGGCATAGTACCCCATCGTTTATGTCAGTGGGGGGAATAGTGCCTTGTATCAGAGGAGAGAATAATGCCCCAAGGGCCGTATAGAGGTAACCAAAGGCCCCTGGGCCACAGTTTGGAGACCACTGCATTAAGGTAAAAAAAACTATTTTAGGTTTAGGATCACTTTAAGGATATAACAATACAGCGTGGACATAATCTCCCTAATCAAATAGAGAACATCAGAGGTGGAAAATAGGTAATAGAAAACTTAAAATTTTTTTGGAAACATTTATACTCTGTACCCATGTTTATGATTGCACCACCGTATACATGAGTACAGCAGAACACTGCCATTCATGTTACTGACAGACTGTTCACTGCACCTGGGCTTCTTGTGTGGGGGATCTATAATGGGCATGTACAGGGGTACAGTGTATAAACATTTGCAAAAAAATTGAACGTTTTCTATTACCTGTTTTCCACCTCTAATGTTCTCTATTTGTGCAAGAGCTCCAGTACTGCATCTGTGCATCAATAAAAACAATTATAAACCGTAAATGAATTTGCAATATGAAAATGGAACAGGGGCTGAACAATGTGTATATCTTGAGATGATGTATAGATCCCAGACAACCTGACAATCGGTATACCTGAGAAAAAAATAAAAGAACAGCTATTTCAGCCTTTCTCTTTTGGTGGGCAATGGAACTGCATCTTTACTAACTCCTTGAAGTTCCTGCTGTCTCAGATTAGAACGCGGGGGGGTCAACAACCAGTAGTTAGTGGCCAGGTGACTTGTAGATTGTGGTTTGGGCTTGCTGACCCACCATCCCAGAGCATCAAACAGAAAGCATTGCAGAGGGACTATTTGTAAAGTTGGAGCTGTAGTAGGGAGCAGGAGCCGCAAAAGCCGATGCCTCCTCCTGTAGTGCTGGCTCCTGTCCCATGCGGAGTGATACCAACTGCACTCCTCCTCTTATCTTGGCTAGTGGTCTCCAGAGTGGTGCCAGCAGCAGGAAAGTGGAGATCTTCAGGTCAGTATGAAGCAATACACCGGGGGCATAATAGTATAAGGCTGCTTTCACACTGATGTGCTGCGGTTTACCCACACTGTGGGTGCATTGCAGTGTAGCTTTCCTGTGGGTTTGCTGCGCTTAGCCATAGACTTCTATTATATCCTGTGGTAGTGGTGCCCTTTCTGAAAGCGCTCCAAAACCCCTGAATGCAGGAGTTTTGATGCGCTTTCAGAAAATGCACCACACCTTCAGGATATAATAGAAGTCTATGGCAAAGTGCAGCCAACCCAGGATAGTTGCAGATGCACTGCTCCGCACTCGCATTGCAGGTAAACTGCAGCACATCAGTGTGAAAGCAGCCTTATGGGGGGCAAAGAACTGTAAGGGTTCATTTCCTTTTGCAGTTAGGTGGTGGTTAAACCCCGTAGTTGTGTTTTTTCCTAACCCCGCCCCAACCGCACCCCCTTTAGCTGCAGTGGCCAAAGGGGTACACATGTAGCAGGAGTTATCTGCCCTATCATGCTTGGTGGGTGTAGCACCTGCCAAGCATGACCCATTCAAGTGAATAAGGCCACTCTGCAAGTGCCCTGCAACTTTGTTCAGTGCAGCAAACAAGGGGTTAAAGCAGGCAGCATTGTGTTGCTTTCTCACCACTTGCTTTAACCCCCTGGAAAAGCATGAAGTTGGTATGTAGTTGTGGAGCGCTTGCAGAGTGGCCTTCAATGGGTCTGATCTGGCAGGCGGTAGTCACCACCAAAAGCAACAGGGAGTTTAATTCCTACTGCGGCGTGTATACACCTTTTGGCTGCTGCATCAGCAGTTAGAGAGTAAGGAGTCCTACCCCCTAAGCCTTAAGGGTGGCACTGCTGAATGCAACGATGGGCTCATTCACATTCCTCGGAAAAGTGATCTGAGTGTATTTGACAGGTGGTGAGGAGGCAATATGTTGCTTGCTCACCACCTGATTTAAAGCTACGACTGCCATGCAATGCACATGATTGCACTCATTAGTATGGCAATTAGGGGTTTAAATCTGCTGTAAAAGAGGCAACACTGTGCCTGGTAATCGTTGACTTCTCCCATGTTGTTCCAGTAGATCTCCACTTCTTTAAGGTTGCCTACCCCTGGATTAGAATGACTGCACCTTAGGTTACAGTAAAATAATCTCACTACACCAGTGGTGTTCTTTTGGTCTTAACTATGATCATCTTAAGCCAAATATGATGTTTTACATGTTACTGTAATTTCAGAAAGTTGGATTATACTGTATATGTCCTGCTTTGAATTAAATCATACTAGCAAGGTGTCGTAGGGTGTCATAGGGTGACAACAATTACTCAGTTTAGTTTTAACAATGCCATCCTTTCTTGTGTGTATCCAAGGTGGACTAGAAGGTGTGCCAATATGCAGTGCACGGGCACATTCTGCCACAGTTACCATAGTTATTGGCTCTTGAAGGTGCACCGTTCACACACAGAAACTACAGGAGTTGCATAGCACTGGGAGAAAACACAAAGTTGGGGGATAACTATATTTTTGGAACAAAAAAAAAAGAATGCAGTCCTGTTTTACTCCACAGTATTATGTTTTCAAGAGTTTAGTTCTACTTTAACAATTCTTGGAAGTGTTTTTTTTTTTGTTTTTTTTTTTTCTTGTATCGTTCTAAGATAGTAATAGTATTGACTTTTTCAGAAATGTCAAGAAAGCCAGCAAGTATTGAACATTTTCATTAATTCTTTGGTGGTGGTGTGTCCAGGCCACAACCTTTTCGGTTACAGTCAGAGCACCCAAATCTGGTGTTTCAGTTTTGAAGATGGTCGGTTGACTTGCCCATTACTTTTACTTTTTTTTTTTTTTTTTAATCTCATGAGGTCTCTGCTTGTTGCAACCATTATACATACTCATTTACCTTATACAACCATGTTAAATGTTTTTGGATTTGACATTTTAAAGTATGCAGGAACAGGAGTAAGATGTTCTTGTGCGGATCTAGGATGTCAACTTGCTAGGGAGGATTTGCCACTAGTATCTTTGGTGGTATAAGAAATAAGTGGGTAAATAAGCCACAAAATCATTCTCCTTTCAATGAATGGGAATTTAGGGTAGGATGAACTTTTTTACATGGGATATTCAAATTTCCACTTACTGAAAATAATGTCTACTTTATTCATTTTTGTTCTAGATTCAACAGGAAGGCCCAGTATAGACAGCTTGTCCTCAGATTCTTGGTTAGAAATGGAAGAAGAATCTTGTGATGCTCATACGCTGGATGAGAAAGATGACCATGGAGAAAAGACTTCCAAGCTATCAGGCGATGAATCCTTGACACCTAATAGTACACAGTCGGATGGAAAAGAGTCAGCAGAAAAGAAACAAAAGGCAACATTAATGCACTATTTAAAAAGGACCCTATCTAATGACTCTGATGAAAGCTCCAGGTCTGTTGTGCACAGTGAATTCCCAAAAACCCCATCAGAATCTCCTTCTACAGAGGTAACCTCCAGATGGACACACCTCACAGAGTTTGAACTGAAGGGCTTGAAAGCCCTTGTGGAGAAACTAGAGTCTCTTCCTGAAAATAAGAAATGTGTTCCAGATGGAATAGAAAATCCACATGCGCTTCTGGAAGATATGAAGGTTGGTATATTCATTTTAATACTAAATATTCAAACAAAAGAATTATTCTATAGGGAACAATTCATTAAGTGGTATCTTGCTGCATCCAAGTATGTGGTAAGATATCGCACAGCATTTTTGTTTTTTTTAAAGTTGGCATTCATTTATAAATGCTGCTAAAATACCGCATAGGTTATTTTATGAAGTCATGCAGTATTTTAGTAGTTAAAACATGCACTAATGTGTCACACCCCCCCCCCCCCCTTATCCATACCAAGCCCTTCGGGTCTGGTATCAATTTTGAGGGGAACCCCCACACCAAAATTAAAAAGAAAAAAAAAGTGTGTGTGTGGGGCAAAAAAATCCATAGCAGACCTTTATCTGAGCATGTTGATGAGGACAAGGGCCTCTTTCCCACAACCGGTGGTTGTAAGGGTCTGCAGGCGGGGGGCTTATCGGAATCTTGAATCCCTCTTTAACAAGTGGGCCCCCAAATTCCCCCCTATGTTAATGATTATTGAGTGCATGTTACTGCTACTCATTCACCAAAAAAAAAGTCTAGTGTAAAAGAACACCGTAGGATTTTCTTGATAAGTCCTTTTATTAAAAAATAAATAAAAAATGTCCCCCAGTGCAGATCCATTATCAATCACAATGCCCATCGCCAACCAGATGGGCATTGTGAAGAGGCTGCCCCCCCAAAAAGCACCCCCCATGTGGCCTGCTAACTTTAGGGCCCCGCCTCCCTTTTCTGACCTGCCTGACCTCGTAAAAGAGTCTGGTATGGATTTTGGGGGGGGGAGATCCAATGTAAATTTTTTTTTTTTCAGTGTAGGGGTTCCCCTTAAAACCCATACTGGACCCGAAGGGCTTGGTATGGGTGGGGAGGAGGGATCCCATGCCATTTTTTTGCTTAATTTTTTTTTTTTTTTTTACATTAAACTCCCCGCTGACAGCTGATGACTCATAGGTTGCTAAGGATGCTGCGGCTGCCCACTCCTTAACAACCATGACAGTTACCAGTATGTGCAAAATTAGATCAAATGGGATGCCACATCAAAAACCTACACGTGAAAAAAAGGGAAGCAGCTCTTTACAGTGTAAACTACTGTGTAAAAAAAACAAACATTTTTTTATAAAAGCGCTCACGCCACTAAAAATAAATTACCGGTAATTCCCAATCCGTGGAAAACATATCACAAATACATCAAAGTGCTAATATCAATAAATGATAATCAAAACATGATCTATAAAATACATCAAAGTTCTAATATTAAAGCGGAGTTCCACCCAAAAGGGGAAGTTCGGCTTTAAGGATTGGCACCTTTAGGGAGCGGGTACCCGAAATTGACAGGTACCTGCTCCCACTTCTGCTGCGATCGCCTATGTGATCAGAAGTGGAATTTTGTCCTCCTACCCTCCCTGTATTCTTCTGGGACACGTGATAGGTCCCAGAAGACGACGGGGCCATTCAGGAAGTGCACTGCTACTCGCGCATGTCAGCACCCGGCTGTGAAGCTGCAAGCTGTCACTCGCGTGCCCAAACTGAAGATGCTGACGACTGGAGCACAGGACAGCCGGTGAAACGGGCTGCGAGGAGGACACCGTGGGATCGTGGCACAGGTGAGTGGCTGTTTTTTAAAAGTCAGCAGGTACAGTTTTTGTAGCTGCTGACTTTTTTTTTTAATTTTTTTTTCAGTGTGAGTGGAACTCTGCTTTAAATGATAATCAAAACATGATTTAAATAATGTCCTAAAAAATATAATTCATAAATTAAAGAGTGTCCATAAATAAAAGTCCATCCACTTATGTGCTCAACACCTGTGTAAATTTCACTTGCTGATTCACCACCACGTGCGTTTAAAATTAAATGCTTACCAGATCCATAATAATTCATGCCCCAAAAACAATGAGGAAGCAGACCCCACCAAGGTCTTCTTTTCAGCTAAACCAGTATGACAGTACACATACTCAAGAAACAAAAATGCTTCCCATAGTGTGTAGTAAATTTTATTAAATTCAAAAAGGTTCAAGGATAAAAATACACTCACATTTAAAAGTGCCGCTCCCGACACAACCAAGTCACTTAAAGTGACGTATTCAGGGACCGGATAAGACAACAACGGCCAGGCCTCAATACATTTTGTGGAATCGCGTCATCAGAAAGCACTTTGGTGTATTTGTGATATGTTTTACACGGATTGGGAATTAATTTATTTTTAGTGGGGTGAGCGCTTTTTTTTTTTATTATATTTAGTTTTTTGACACAGAGTAGTTACCAGTACATATCGCATGCTTTGACCACTAAATAACTTCATTCATATATTTATTTCCTTCTGTGAATTGACTTTTTAAGGTCTTTTTATGCAGTATTTACTAAGTGTTTTTGCTATTTGCGGTAAATACCACATACTAGCAATAGTGAATTGACCTTTTCAGTATCGCATGTGATATGTGGTCACGTTAGAAATTCTAAAGGACCCTCTGCACACTGGTATATACCCTTTCAAGCAGACTTTGCAATAAATAGGGATATTTAGTTCACACATATTGCAATACATGTTTAAGCTGGCGAACTGCGTCAAAGTAATCCCTCTATGGCCAGTCCTACTCTGCTCTGCCTACGCAAATGCTACTGTGGACACAATGCTAGCATAGGGGAAAAGACACAATGGGGGAGAACTACAAGGTTCAGGTCTGGCTACTGACCCAACAATACAACAAACAAGATATACCTGTGCTCAAATACCAAAAGCTAGTGCGTGCATTTATCCATCAGGTGCTAAAGGGGTGCAACCACATATTAACACTAGAAATTCTGTAGGACCGTCTGCACACTGGTATATACCCTTTCAAGCAGACTATGCAATAAATAGGGATATTTAGTTCACACATATTGCAATACATGTGGTCACATTACTGACATAACGCATGTGATAACCTTCAATGAATTGTCCCCATAGTGTTTAAACAGCTGCCCTTTTTCATTTCTTTTTGGCTTGAGTTTGCTACTGTTATCCTTGTTCTGCCAACTCTTAAAGTTTACCTAAGCGCCAAAACAGAAATGTAATAAATTGCAGCTTACCAGTCCTTAGATGTCATGGCTGCATTAGATTTCTTTTTTTTTTTTTCTTTCTTCTTTATTTTTATCTGGCCTCCTGTAGATAATATGCTTCTTGTCCCTTCTTCTCTTCAATTTTTTTTTCTCCACTGTATCTGTGGTGGGAGCCATAGCTGTCACAGAATCTGGACTTCAAACATATCTACCGTTTGTCCATTACATGGTGGATTGATAGGACTAGTAGTTTAAATATCCTTATCGTTGATGTTTAAACTTACAGCTCAATGCAGAGAAAGTGAAGGGACACTGCATTTCTGGCAAGATGAACAGGTATTTTCTGTACTTGCTGAAAATGTTCTTGGCCTGAAAAGTAAAAAGCAATGCAGCAACTAAATCTAAGGATTGGTAAGCTGCAATGTATCATGGTTTTTTTTTCTTTTTTATGTTACTCTATACGGCTTAAACATTTTACAACCATGATTGTCTCCAGTCTGGAGGCTTCCTTAATTCAAAAGGGCATATGAAACTGGCTCTATGAACATTCCACTGAATTCAAAGACCGGTTCGGGTATTAAACAAGCCAGTTAGCACACATTCTCTATAGCCCTCTAACCCCCTTATCCTAATATAACCTAGAACCTCCCCATCAAGGTTGGGTACCTCCATGATGGAGATTTCATCCTCTGGTTTTTGCCCTTCTTTGTCTGAAGTGTTTTTTGGTGCTGGGTATGTGCCTCTATGCATAAAATGGGCCATACCTCTTGCATCTCTAATGTAGGGGTACGGTCCTATTCAGGTTTATAGGGACTTGTTGAACAATTGCTACCAGAAGCAGGAGAATAAACGGCAAGGGGTTATCAGTGAACGGTAAGTAAGTGTTTGGGATGGAAAGGTTTTTTAACTTAGTTCAACTGCGGAAGGAAATGATTTTGTATAGAGCATAGTTTCCATTGATGCTATGTACTCTCCATTTGGAGAAGATATGGTATAACCTTCCATGCATTTACATACCAGGCAGGTCTTTACTCCTGGGATGCTTACTGTTAGCGCCATGATTGGGTTCTTTGTGCTTGCCTCTTTATATCCATTTCTGAGACAGAAAGCATATAGAGACAGATGTGCTAGATTGGCAAAGGCAAACAACAATGGCCATATAATAAAAAAAACAAAACACTTGTATAGACCGTAATTAATGCAGCTCTGTATTCACAACACAACATGATGGGGGAGAGGGTGATGGACTGCACAAGTACAAGGTTGAGGGTAATGGACTGCCCATGGGCAGTACTACAGTACAAGGTTGCCTAAACTAGTGGTATGAGTCTAGCTAGCAGCCACAGCTGATTCTGCCTCAACAGATGAAAAACATTTTCTTTCTTTCTTTGGGTTTTTCTTTCACATTGTGTGTTTTGTTAAATCTAAGTGACTTTAGCTGGCCTTACACCTGTTAAAGTTTGTTAAAAAATTGTCATTTTCAGAACATTTGTTCAGTTATCTAAGCGGTTGTATTGACCAGAACGAGTGAAAGAAATCAAAGGACTAGGATGAAGACATTTTTGTTGAATCTAATAGGAACGAACATTTCTTATCACTGAATTTTCTTCTAAGAAACATCAGAAGTAGACTTTTTCACACGCACTTATCAAACTTAATGTGAAAATTGAGACCTTGACATGGCACTCAAATGAAAAATCTTTCAAAATTAGTCGAGCCAATGAAGGCATAATCGAATGGTTAGATGAGCGGTTTTTGTACTTTATCATCTGAGTGTTTGAGCTAAATTATACAGGTATAAGGCCAACATTAAATTGCTAAGAACATCACCACGCCAAACACATTGTGGGGTACTCTTCTTTTCTTTATAAAACCAAGAGAAACTAAATGTTCATTGTATTGCCACCTAGTAGAAAAATTTTCCAGCTAGTCCTGAAACTCCTAACCAATTTGGGGGAGGGTCCTG